TTGATTATTTTCATCAGTTCAGAAGCTACAAAAGATGCGGTTCAGTACCTTCAAGGATGATCTGTTTTACTAGGTAGTATGTTTTATATCCCTTCCCGAAATGAGTAGTGTATGTTTGATAAACAGAAATTATTGCTATCACATAAGCGCACTTCATGTTCATATTAATTCAAAAGTATCTCTAGTAGCCTACTGATTAGTTGTACAATATGTAATCATCAAGCAGCGAATAGATCCTTCTTATTTAATTACCATATTATTGAAATCGTTAACTGGCTGGCTTTAAAGTATCTTTTGGTGATATATACCTTGAAGTCATTCAATGTTCAAACAACCCGGTGTCAAAGTCTCTGACTTCATGACTGACTACTTCAGACTGTAATCCACGAAGGAATACAACGTCGCGCAACTTTGCATATACGTCTGGCTAATGAGTGCCAACAAGTAACAAACATCAGTCAACAGTTTTCTTTCAAATTATCTGAAGAGTAAAACAGTTCTCAATCACGATCTGAATAGCTTCATGATAACGTCCCTGACGTGGTGGGATATCATTTCTGCTGATGGTGCAGATACGCCTTGCTGACGAGTGCCACTAAGCTGGAAACCTAAGTCCAGAAAGGCTTCCTGATGATTATCTCTGTTCAGATAAGACTTTCCATTCAGTCTGGGGGCTTGTGGAGATTTATTAGTTGATTTTAGGTTGAAATTCTCTATGGACTGACATCAGCTGGAGGAACATTGGAAACCTAGAAGCATTGAACACCTGTTTCATCCTAGTATGTGACTCCTCAACAGTGCGCACTCATGACCCCACCCTGGCAGAGTCGAACCCAGGACCTTTTATTCTATCGTAATAATTTTTTTGGATGCAACTTTGAAATCGATCCCATTCAGTCGAAAACCTCACATTCATCAGAAAAGGCATGTCTATAAGCTAAAAGGGAACTGAGACCACTGCGCAAATTCGGTGTCTTAGCCACTGATGTTGGAAATAAGCCGTACTGAAGACTGGACAATTCAGCAAGGTTTTGCATTCATTAACCAGAGAAAATATAAAAGTTTTAAACTACTGAACAGCACCAAATTAGGACGAGACAAATTACTGATATTACCTAATTTTTAAAAGTTTCTCATTGGTTTCGAGAGTACTAGATTTGTGAACAAATGTTATAGGTAATTGTTGAGTAAAATGTAAGTATGAACTATCGAATTTCAACCAGTTGGCTGAATGCCAACTTGCTTAGTAAGTGGTTTGAAGTTTCTCTCCATTCAGCTGAGTCTACTAATAAAAAGTTGGAAGGAAAATTCATACGGATATAGTACATTCTTTAGTCGACATCAGTTTATGCTGTAATCCACTATCTTCAGGAGATGAGTTTGTTACAACTAACTGATATGTCAGCTTGTGATGAAAAGTACCTGTAAGTCAATCGATTCCTATAAACTGAATAAATTCCACTAGTGACTTGTTTGAAGATGAATTTTTCAATATTCTGATGGTGAACCGTGGCATGTAAGGTCAGCCAAGTTGTCTACCATTGACATCGGATAGTGATCTCGTGGCGTAGGAAATCAACAGAAGTAGGATAAATTGGATCATTCGGTTGAATCTTAGTAGCTGAGTGGTAACGTGTTTACAACAACAACCAACAGTCATGGGTGTGTCCTCTTACATAGTGGTGGGTTCACATTGCTAATGATTCGCAAACTAGTTCGATCTAATTGTCTAACACTCTCAGATCATCAGTAGTTCTTCAAATGGTTTCAATCTATGATAGGAACAGCTTGAATTAAAAAACCAATCTGAATTCTTTTGGTGTATACAGTTCTCATCTTAACTAAAATAACCATCACCCATCGACTTAAAGGCTGGATAACATTGCTCAAAACCTTGATAATCCAATATTGAAGAATGTGTCATTTCAACGGTAACGTACTGGTCGCGGAATCTGGAGGTCCTGAGTTTAACCCCTGACGAGGTGTTCCAGACTAGGATGAAACAAGTGCCCAATGCCCATAAGTTTCCAATGTTTCTCAGTTAATGTCAGCTCATGATGAATACCAACCTGAGGTATAAAATATGTATGTTGAAGAGGAACGGTCAATGAGCATTACAAGTTTTTGATCATTCATACCTTTCAAAATTGAAAAATGATGTTTCTTAGCATACAGTCATACTTAAAGAAGGCTAAAGAATAGATATATAGTTTTGGTCATGTAAAGGCTGACATAAAAGCATTATATGTCAGATTGTAGATGCACCTAGCAACAAGCATGAAACTAATGTCAGCCAAGGCTCAATGGTAATTACCTCCAACTATTCAACCTCAGGTAAACCAAAAATTTCAAAATCTTTGTTTTTAATTGCCAATAATACTGATTAGTATTTTGGAGAAAACTCAATGACCTTCATCTTAAGGATATGAAAGGGAAAATTTGATTTAACAGAGTCAGTTAAAGAAAAAAACTTTTTTCGGAGATATCCATTCTCAGAAATTATACAATCGTACTTAAATAATCAATTAGTCAGCTAATTCGGTGGCAAAAAATGTCGGTATTTGTCAGTCCCTAATTCCCAGTGAATTGTGACCGGGAAAATAACATACCAATGGAGGTTACCTAAGGAGTACAGGAAATAACTGGTCCAGAGTTGTTATGTAAATGACAGTGAGTCTACACATGACCCTGTTGGATTCTAACCAATGCACCGTCTTAATTGATTCTGCGATAAACATGGTCGACGAGATCTTCAAACGCTGTTAGTGACGCGGATCTCTAAGGCATGAACAGGCAAGCAGACCTTCAGGAATCCGTCCAGTTAACTGGATTCTGGGAGCAGTGCACTATAAAAAAGATAAAGGTATCTAGATTCCTAATTCCGATAGTCACTGTTATTGAAGCAATCGCAAGAGTAGCGTTTTTGGTTTACCTTGCGAAGGTGAGTGGTATTCAGTCCGGAATCTCCGATATCGGTTGCTGTAACCATCGACCAAAGATGACTTAGTCACTTGGTAGCCTGCCTCTGTCTTAAATGTCGGTGAAACTGAGGAGGTGTAATGCATCGCCAACTGCAAGATTGTGGATAATCAGTGAGACGTATCCCAAACATATTTGTCCACAGGGGAATTACGGTGGGTGAGCAGATCATCTGGCGAACATGTATGTGTTGAAACGTGATAGCTAGGAGGGAGGGACTAAGTGATGACATTTGCGCGAGCCTCAACCAGAATGCACTGGCATGATTGTTCTTTTTCATATATCTGCGTTACAAAGAGGTGAAGGGTTCAAGAGACGATAAGGTTCAAGTAAATGAACGTTCGGTGTGGAAATGGTAACTGCGCCGAAAAGTGAAGCAGACAGTATGAAATCGGTTGCTGACCAGGGACCGGTCAGTGTAAATATGAAAAGACTTGACAACATGAATCAGCAAATACGGGTTGAAATGCTCAGCTAAACAATTAGTAACAAAGTATAACCAAGGTGGTCAGTGCAGAAGGGTATTAGATATTACTAACTGAGGTGTAAGAACGTTTACATAGTAGCAAAATGAAAGTAAATGGTTTCTCATACCCATCGCCAGATTACGTTGTACTTTGTAGACTAGTGAAAATGAATCTTCTGGAACTGCGTCTACTAACAATTTAATGTTGTAAGATGGAGCTGTGGTATATCTGCGTTGACCTTCACTGAACCATACTAAGAAGTGTTGGCGTCAACTTCGGTTAATCTGTCTGTGGGTATCGCCTAAACAGTGGTAGTTGAATTAATGCATCCTTTTGACTATCTGAAACAGCTGTAGATTGGAATATTAGTATTAATACTAGGTGATGATTAAACATGAAATGAAAATTTGGACTGCCACCGGATTCGAAGTAGCGACCACCGGGTTTCCAGCCCAGTGCTCTATCAACGGATATATGCAAAATGAAGCGGCTTTCTCTGGCAGCTTGTCCTTCACAGTATAAGCCATTTAGCTACATAAGATGTTTTTTTGACAACCTTCAAAACTCTACATTTCATATGCTTCATCTCCATTGAATTCCAAGCTCAGAATCAGCTTTTTCTCTTTAGTGATAGAAGACTGGTGGGTAGCGTTTCTAAGCAGTTTTCTCTCAGTGGATTGCTCTAATTATCCATCTCTGACCAAAGTCAATCTTAAAAGTTGTGAGTGCCGATGGTGCGGACAAAAGCCCAAGTTTGTCAAACTCATTACCTAATAACTCTTCGTATAGTGTAACGATTCTGCACTGAGCATAAATACGACTGTGCGTCCCTTGAAAATAATGTCATCAAAAATAAAACTTTCTACCAATTTCACATCTTTTTTCTGTTTGTCAGATATCAAAGAATATGTCATTGCCCCCTACACACAAAACTGAATCCTCATACATACGTTAGGTGCCGGAAGCGTATCCATTTAGACCAATGAGTTACAACACCCACTCATTGTGCAGTGGATATAGTTTGATATTGGAACTCGCTTTGCCTCAGATGCATATTTTGCTAGATTTACCTTATGAATAAATTCACTGTTTACGCAATCGTATAGAATATTTTTCAAAACATAAGACACAGATGGTAGTGATAACATGAATTTAGACATTTAAATACTGATCATACTTTACGAAATTTTGATTGGTTATTTGGTTAACGAATGCGAAGATAAATTTGACGTGAACCAATTAAAAAGCTCACGCATTGAAATGACTCTACCAATTAGAAAGCCACTGACTTCTGATTTATCAGATGTAGTTAAGAAAAAAATAATTTTGATGCCTCCAGGGGTGAAATGAAGAAACGAGAGAAACATTGACACGCTATACTATAAATCAGTTTTCTGTATAAAATTGAATGTATTGGTAGAAAAAATACGAAATGGCGAGAAAGGCTGTGCTTTGAAATTGGGAAATAGACTGTTTGCACTACTCAGGATACTTTTTTCTCCGGTTAACCATTCATTAGTTAGACACATTTGAAGTGAATTTGTGGAATTTATCATGCAAGTTGGGGGATTTTCTAATGTATCCACTTTACTGAGAATGAATGAAAAACACAATTTCATCAATATACACAACAACAGTACCAATAATAATGGTAGTGTCATGAATAAGAACAGTAATAATAATAAACATATCATGGGCCCTGAAGCAATTTTATCGGATAATAAAGTAATCGATAGTCAAAACAGTACCGCTATTACAACCATGACAACAACTTCAGCGACTATGATGCCGCCACATTGTCTTTCTTTGCTATCAGAAGCATCAAACTATTGGAACGGGAGAAATACATTCAACAGATTGAAACACCACCGTTACATGGACAATATATCCCCTCATCGAGGTCGAGATGACAGAAATAATTATAACGGTGACGCTAGTGGAGGAGATGATGATTATGATGACGTCCAAGAGGAAGAGGAGGAGGAGGCCGATAATGAAGTCGACAGAGATGTCTCAAACAGATCCGTATCACCTGAAGATAATACAAACAAGATGAGTGACATTGGTCACAGTAGTCATACAGCCAGTTCACCAAGTCCACCGAAGCTGGTTGCTCAAATCCCTAGGAATACTAATCGACGGAAAAGTTCACGTTTAGACATAGATGGACAACATTTTCAAGGGAAATCTGGTCAGAATTCACCAAATCATCACGAAATTAAACGAATAACACCTTATCCATCTTCTAGTAAGTTCGAACACATGTTATTCATTGTCACTAGATTTTAAGGGTATTTGATATACTGGTTACTAGAATGTTATGAATTTGATGCAGGAAGTGTATCATCTGGAAGCCATGGTTACCAAGGTTTCGCAGTTGTTATTACTCATCAACAAGGTGTAAATGCATGACTGAGGAACCCATTGTTCTCGTAGGAATTGGAACCTGTAGTACTTAGTGCTGATGACACAAACGTTACCACTAGGCTAGTCAGGTCATTAAATTGAAGCTTCCTTGAGGGTTTAATATAATTCCTTCTGTTGAAAACAGAGATTGATTTGAATGAAGCAGAAGGATATACTAATGATTGGAAATAGAAAGATTTTAAAGTGAGAGCAAGATGACGTATATGGATACTTTTTGATGGACTTTCTCTACATTTTGATTACACTTCACTCATCAATGTATGTGGTCTGTTGTTCTTTAGTCAACATAATTATTGATGCTTCTACATGGCGTTTATGTTATGCTGATACGTTGGAAGTCATACTGAATTCTTCGCTTGGATTCATTATTCCCACCTTTGACTATGAATCTTACGATAGTGAAACTAGTTTGAAATTCTTTTTTTGTCTTGAATAAAACTGATTGTGACCTTGATATGTAAAATACTATATTCAAATAAATCCCAGTTACCAATAAAGGCTAAAACGCAGATAAGTAGTTTGATATATGATATGGTTTACTTGGTTGATGGTGGGTGATAGTACAGTCCATGACACACTTTTCAACCTATTTAAGATTATTCAACCCAATGCAATTCCATCCAAGGCTAAAAACCAGCACTCATCAACATAGCCGTCTGGGAGTTATCTACTAGATTACTGATATTTGATTAGAAGATGAGTCTTAAGAGTGTTAAACGAAACGAGTGTTGACTTGAAAGGTGCAGCTAATTCGCTAAGATCCATGTACTTTTTTGTCAAGCTCTACCCAATTAAGTTGTGTTACCCGATTTACTTTACCAACTTTTGATTGTTTTCTTTTCTTGGATTCTTCTTGACACGTTTACATCTCCTCTTTATTCTCAATCTGAAGTACTGTAAAGTATGACTATCAATATAAGATTACTGGCTGACAAAAATATATTTATTTGTTAGTGGATACTGATGAAGAATTTGAAATAAAGACGAAACATTCTGCACTACTCTGTAGTTCTCAGTACTTTGTTAGGCATACATCACTTCATAGCAATAGTTACTACCAAAATATCATAGGAGAGATTGAATCATGCAGTAGGATTTCACAGACGAGTGGTATCATTAAAAGTCAGTAGATAACACCGGTTTAAGTGAGCATTTTTCATCTAAAATAGACAGTTGAATATTGAATTACATTCGCAACGTTTATTCCACTTATTTTTTTGACTGAGTACGCATATATATATATATATATATATATATATATATATATAATTACTAAGCGTATAGTTCATAAGTTGTCGATTTCATCTCCAATGACAGAGTGCTTAGGCGACATAATGAGTATTACGGAGAAAAAGAATGATCAGAGTTCAAGTAGAACTGGAATCATAAGCTAGTCTGAACTGGTGATCTCTCAGCTAACGAATTCCAAAATGGGTGACTTTAAAGGCCACCCTAGGAACAGCTGAGATAACCGATTACTTTTCCCTATTTTATGAAAAAAAAAGATCTTTCTAGCTAAAATACCGAACCTGATTAGCTATGTCAACAGTTGCTAAGGTAGTCTTTAAAGTCACCCTCCGAAGGGAGGATTCTAAAGGTCACCCTAGCAACAAAATAAATAACCAATCGGGTCTCTTTATTTTGAATTTGAATACAGTTTTTTTTCACAGATTACATGTTTCTTGTTAGTTTCAGCAGTTGTCCACGTGGCCTTTAGTGTCACTAAAACCCTATCACTTACTCGTTGTTTCTAAGTTAATTTGTTGACGTTAAAAATGGAAAGAGTTAACAGAACCATCAACCTTTACTTTATGGAAAAGTACTTTGCCAGGCGAAACACCGAAGCCTGATTGGTCATTTCTGAAGTTACTAGGGTGGCCTTTAAAGTCAATCTAATCGACTGAACTGAAAGTAAGACAGCGTTAGCATGAAAATCTGGTGGTGACTTTGAAGGACACCTAAGCAACTGCTGAAATAACCAATTAGGCTTCTATATTTTATTAAAAACTACTTTCGGAATATCGAAACCCGGTTGGTTAATTCAGTGGTTGCTAGGGTGGCCTTTAAAGTCACCCTAAAAAGGGTATACTAATATTTTTATGTGCTCACAGAAAATTGTAATACCTTTAAAAATATTAGAGGTGCAAATGTAGTTTGGGGATACATATCGGGGAGGCTACAGGTTGTACGTTCGAATCTTACTGAAGACCTATCATAAATGGTAAACACATCAGCAGTACTCAAGTGTACATACTGTGGTAGAGAGATTAGCTTTAAACGATATTTCCCTCCTTATATGGATTTCTAGTTTAGTCCAAAAATTCTCCTAATATCTCAAGTTACTCATATCTGAATTCTTTCACCTCTTTTTACAATTTACTGGCTGGTGGGGTCGTCCGCATTAGAATGATACTACCAGGATCCTGATTTTTATTACATATATCTTATGAATTATTCAATAGAACGACAGACAGAACTGCTTAAATACATGTCGGCAGACACTAACTGTATGATAACACTATCCATGATGATTCTCAGTCGAACTGCATTTCATCTGGTCACTTATCATTTGGAATTATTTTGACATATTGACTTTGTTTCCAGTATCAACTTATTACTCTAGTTCAAACTTGTAAAAATCTCCAAGTTTCCATGTCTCTAGGATACATGTGCATGCGACTTGGCAGGTACATACTAGCTGGCCTATACACACAGTTTGATCTAATAAAAGGTGGAAACTCATCGATTTCTGAGTGTTAAAACGACTAGTTTATTTGATATATTTCAGCTATCTTGCCGACTTGATTAATTTTAACATGTTCGAACTTAAATGACGTTGATTCCTCTGGTAGTGTCATCTTCTTTGAGAGGACGGTGTAGATGTATGGGTCTCTTGTTCTCAACTGAACTGTACCCATTGAATGCCTTTTTTTCTATCATTTCATACTTGACGATGATGACAATGATGCCCAACTAGTGTTTTCCAGTTGAATGGGCCAAAACCTTCTGAAGTTTAAATAAATCCTATTGCATCTCTCCTCTAGAGAACAACACAACAAGCAGCAATTCTCCTGCCTAACTTAGCATATTTTTATGCCAAAGGTAGATCGAAGTTACCAGGAATTTTAGTGAAAGCAAATTCAGATTGACTGAATTGTGTGGGCCATTGGATTTCAACCCAGTGATAAATTTGTCATGTGTAAGCAGGTCAAACCTGAAGACCATGAGTTCAATCAAGCATTTGATCGTCAATGCTCACTGCTGAAATATCCTAAACCTCGAACAAAACAGATGTTCTGCGTTTCCAGGTTTACACTAGTTGTTCCAATTGAGGTAGTAGTTGACTGTATTTCTTAGTAGTAATCATAGAGTTCTTGATTGTATTGTGTTCCCTGAGCTGGGTTGTTTAATCGTGAAGCTTTCATCTTCTTGTTAGACGACATCATCAGCAGGAAAGTCTATACAGTCAATGACACAACAATCGAAGGAAACTACCAGTCGCAGACCACATCCTCAGAACAAGTCACTAAGTCACTCACGGAGAGATATGGACAGCTCACTTCACATTGAAGTTAGTGCTGATGATGTCGTCCAGGAAGACGATGAAAGCTTCACGATTAAACAACCCAGCTCAGAGAACACAATACAACCAAGACCATCCACCTGAGCTACAAATATTCTCCATTATTTCAAAATCATAGAGTTCCTTTATGCATATTCAATAGGCTATACAACAAAGGTGTCGATCTTAACAGTGACTTCAAAGGCCACCCTAGCAACTGGTGAAATAGCCAGTTTCTCTGTTCCACGAACAATTGTCTTCCTAGACAAAATACCGCAACTACATTGGTTATTTTAGCAGTTGTTAGGGTGGCCTTTATAGTCGCCCGATTTTAACATACCTAAAATTTAAATTCTTTTCAGATGGATATTGAATAAATTGAACAATTGGAATGAATAAGTTCGTTACCGTAATACTTGAATATTTCAGGCACAATAATGCATGATGGTATGGGGTATTTATAAATTTCAAAAAGTCTTGACAATGGATAGAATACACACTACACTACATCTGTTAACATTCAGTTTCACTGGGATTAGCATGAAAAGTATTTTATGACCAGTCACAAAATATTGCCCATTGAAGCATGCCGTTTGAAAGATTGTATTCGAAGTTTTGAAAAGAGAGTGGATAGTCGATGACTACATTCACTTATTGATTGGAACTAGTCGATAACATGATTATTTAGGAGTGCAAACAAGACCACGGTAAGGTTAATGAGTGTGTAAGATTTCGAATGTTTTGATCAGTTGTCCGTTTCACTCACTATCATTCTTTTGATAAAATTGTTTCCATATATAATGGAGTAATTCTTGATGTGATCGATTAAATTACCAACTGGTTTACATTTAGTGACCTGAGCTCGACTTCAGCGTATTAAGCTGTTAGTTAACATAGCTGTCAAGTAATGCTGTTAGTAGGTTACTGTTTAACTTGGAGATGAATTGTTATTTAGGACCTGTAAAGAATGATCTATGTAACACTAAAACTAGGAATATAACTTCATTTATACCAACAATACTAGCTTATTTTATGATACGGATGGGTTAAATACAATGAACACAGTTATATCGATCTTGATAACTAGGAGAGGAATCCAGGGTGCGGGCTTTGTCCTTAACGGGACTAGTCAGCTGAATGCACCCAATTTAGTCGTGTTGTTCCTAAGGGAATTCAACGTCAGTACCCTTCACCTCAATCACCATAGCGTTATCCTCTAAGCCACTGAGGCACTAAAGTCACCTTATATGCAACGCGTATTAGTTATTGTATTTTTAATTCCCTGTTATTATACAAGGGC